ACACGATCCTCGGCCTGTGATGGATCGCCTAGATACAAACATGCTTCCGCCAAGAAGCGGAACTCTACCAAAGAAAAGAAAACCTAAGTAGTCTAAGATGCGGAGCAAGCTCCGTGCTGAGTCCATGCGATGCAACCTAGGATATAAAATGTCACAAAACAACAATGTCACAGCTAACAGCCTAAGTGAAAGTAGAAGCAACTAACTAACATACATGCCATAGGAAAGCAAAAGCAACTAACTAGCATACATGTCCTAGGAAAGCAGAAAGTAGTGACAACTAGATCCTAGAATGTTGGAGGCACTAGCCTCAGTCTGGTAACAACTGACTAGTGTATAAATCCTAAGAACAACAAAAGCAGAACAACTAAATCCTAGAAATGTCGGAGGCAGTAGCCTTAGTCTGAGAGCATCAAAGCAATCAACAAGACAACCATATGTCACATGAGAAGTGTGTCGCAAACCAAAGGGTGGGATGGTCTCTGAGGGTGGCGAATGCAGCCTAGGGGTCAAAACTCCTAAGGGTATCCACACATAGATAACAGGGAGACACATGTCATCAGGCTCAATGAAGGTAGGGAAATGAGAGCGAACAGAACCAATGACCCTAATAGATAGACCATCAGGGCGGGTAATGCTCGACTAAGGGGTGACTGCTATGGTGGGTCGACCATGGGAATAAGGGAGCCTGGTATACTGGGCGCACCTAGATGAAGCATGCGGGGCTGCCTAACTAGGGCGTGAGGGCCGGCGAAGGGTAGAAAGATGATTGGTAAGGGAATCATGCCAATGACTCCTAAAGTGAGGGAAGTCGGAGCTCGATCCGTAAGATGGGAAGCCAAGGCAACGCTACAGTCCCGATGCCTATGCGTATACCAAGGGAGAGCCCAACTCAGAGGAACCCGGCTAAAGGGAGACCATCATGTGACACAAGCAGGGTACTGTACAGGGTAGAGTGGTAAGAGAGTGACGACGTCTGAAGTAGGCAGAGCTGATCGTGATGAAGTCCATGGAGCTGCCGATGACGTCCACGATGAGAATTCCGGAATGCCGTCGAGGAAGAGCCGCAGCGTCGACGAGCTGAAGTAGCAAAACTGATGTGGATGGAGTACTGAGAAGTCAAAGACGTGGGAAGGTAAGTCAGAGTCAATCGTCGTATCGAGCAGGACGACGACGAGTGCGTTGTGGACGCTCAGAAGCATCCGGCTGCTGCTGAAGGTCTGCCTCAGATGGAGCAGGCTCGACTTCAGCGGTCTCCTTAGCCGGAGGCGAAGGAGGAGGGTCAGTGGGCTGAGGAGGAGCAGTGAACCTAGCACGACGAGCACGGTCGTAGGCACGCACCAACAT